TAGCAACACCTTCCCGATCTCTAATATTAGAAAATATTTATATTAGTTTACAACAACAGCAGTTAAAAACATTATATAAACAAAACTTACTTAGCTACTAGTTCCCAATTTTCTTCATCTAAATCCTCCCTGTATACTCTAATATTACATTCCTCATCGAATTGACACCAATAGGCTAATCCAGTTTTATCCTTCCCTAATGGTTCCACACGTAGCTCATCGGCTGCAAGTTTATTTACTTCATTTTTAAATTTTTGATTCAAATCAAACTGAGTTTCCAAGAGTACCTAAGATAATGATTGTAGCATTAGCATAACTATTCGTATACAAATAAATACCACAAATAACAGTAACGATATATAAGAAGAAAATATTAATGTACCTTAAGTAGACGTAATTTAACAGCAATACGTGCTTTTTTGTAACCAAAACGTTCAAGTTCCCACCCATCCTGATTAGAATACGTATGACAAAATTTGACCAATGCTCGCTCCCACTTTTCAGGAGAGACTGTCTTACGTGTTTTTCTTAGCAATTTTATATGTAAATCTACTAATTGTTGAGATACTGAAAGAAAGATAATATCGATATGATAAACTGATACAATTCTAATAACAATATGATGCATGTATAAAAAGAATCAAAGAAAATCCTGAAGATCAAACACAGCAAAATCATAAATACATTAAAAATAAAAAGTAATATCTTTATATATAAAGGAAATAAATTTAATGTTATATTTAAAACTACTACGTTATTCAAAGAAATAAAGAAATTTAATAAATGTGCAAAATTGCATTTAGAGAAGTGTCTCTCATAAAGCCAACAATAAAAAATCAAAGAGTTAAAAGATTTACGATTGAAACGTCAAAATATATCATGCCTACTATGAGCAGACTGAAATACATCCATAATTCGTAATCACGTGTAACCACGATTGACAAGAAAGAAGGGAGGTGGCAGCACGGGGCAAAACAACAACACACGACGGAACGACTCGGTGGGGTTTATCTGTCAAATTGGCAGTCTTTTTTTACACCATCCATGTAAGAGAGAAAGAGACATTGTTGGCTGGAGTAAAAAAAGAACAACGAAGAACACGAAGTGCGTGCTTTCTTCGGAGAGATTCACCCAACGTTACAAATGGAATGAAAGAAAAAAAAAAGAGGCAAAAAGAAGAGAGAAAAAGAGTGGGCAGGGGGAAAATGAAGGAATAAAGAAAAAAATAGATCCGTAGATTCGCAATATAGTAAAGATTAGCCACAGACCTTGTAGTCCCTGTGGAAAGGGATGAAAACATAGGGAGGTCGTGTGTATTGCGCACGCACATATGTACATAACACATATGTCGTAGGTATGTACAAATAATACATAGAAATACATACGAATGGAAGTATATGGATGTAGTAGAAGCGAATAGGTAAATGCATGAAAGGTAATTTTCGAACTAGCATCCATCTACGTCCTTACAAAGAGTTTAAGTCGCGCTACTAACATCGGCAAGAAAGAGAATCGTGAAAAAAGAAAACAAAACTTTTGTGGAGAGTTCGCGCGAGACTTTTCGTCTGGCGGGGGCGGGTCGGTTATTCCCTGCCGCTTCCTCTCCAACCCTCTTTGTCATCACACTCGTGCAGAGAGCATTCGTTTTGTCTCTCTCTCTCTCTCTCACTCACTCTTGTTCATTCGTTCTCTTACATGAACCATGCGCGAGCGCGCTGGTATATAGCAGAACACATACATACATGTGACAAGCATATACACAAAAAGAGACGTAAAGAGCAGCAGCAGTAGTAGCATAAATGAGCGCGCGCGCGTGTGTTGATGCGCGCGCGCCCATATATACGTACGCGTACTACGAACGACGAACGAATGAACGAACGAACGCGGTGGTAAGATATAAGAAATACATATACACACATAAACATTAATTCGACTTACCTTCCTGTGTATTTTCAATCATCTCTTGCAACCTTGCTATGTCTGGATAGACTATGCCACAGGATTTGCCGAAACATTCGAGGAAGGAGCAGATCACGGCAAAATTTGGGTCACTCGCGCAAGAGGCTTCGTTATCGGCCGCCATTTTTCCACAGCTAAAACTCTCTTCGCAGAGGGGCCCGTAGCCGTGCTAGGGCCGATACGCTACTACGCTAGGCGGCCTCACCACTCTCGTATCGCATTTTCGGTTCTTCGCCGTTTTCTTCTTCTATTTCCCTCTCTTTCTCTCGTGCGCGTCCTCGCGCGAAATCCTCGAAGAAAGTCAAAGAAAGAGAGGGGGTTGAATAGAGAGAAAGAGGGAGAAAGGGGGAGAGAGAGAGAGAACAACTCACGAGAGAGCCGCCGGTAGACAGAGCGAGAAGCGTCGATGCACACACCGAGAATCTCGCTTCCCGCTTTTTCGTTCCTTCTCTCTCTTGTCTCTTCCCGTCCTTTTCCACCTTTTCGTTTGTTTGTTCGTTCGATCAACACAACATAACACCAATGATAATGTCGATGGCAGCGGCGACAACGACACAACGCAACAACGACGACGACAACGACGTTCGAACAATTCTCTTCTCTTCACACTTTACTTTTCACCTTTTCCGCCGTTATTCGCGCCCCACTGATGACGATAAAGCACAACACCGGAGAAGCATAGAAGAGACGACACACACGCACAGAATATCCAATTTTATATTTCGTCTGCAATCTTCTTATTATTTTTCTTCTCTTTTTTAGGGCCTTGTTCAAGAAAGAAGGAAAGCAAAGGCGCTCTCACACGCCTCGTCCGCCTTCTTCCACGCACTTTTCACATATCACAAGTCTCCTTGTACACCGACGCACGCACGTATAGACGACGCACGCAAGACGAACGCACACTGAGATCCGTTGTCGGATTTCGCACCCGCGAACTATTCTTTCTTTCTCTCTTTCTCTTTCTCTCACCTCCTGTATTTACGTCTCTGTCTAACAGGGAAGAATGCGCACGCAGCATACGATTGTAACGACGTCGCGCACGTAACACACAGCGATTGCTTTCCTCATGTGTTTGGCACCACTCTCTAGCCTCGTTCGCTGCTCTCTCGTGCCTCGCCTTAGAGGAAACACGAAGACGATCGTTAGCGCGCAACTTCTACGACGTGCAGAGATGTGGCGGCGCAAGACAACGGCGGCACAATCGTCAACAATAACAATAACTATAAACTCGACTTCGTCGACGACGACGACGACGATACAACGACGAGGACGACGAGGACGACGAGGACGGCGTAGACGACGAAGACAACGTTGCTGATGATAAACGCGTTCTCTTTCTTCACAACGAGTCTCATTGGACATCACCGTCTCCACCTCCACCTCCTCCTCGGCAACTCTCCGGGCCTACGAAACGTTACGAAGGAAAAGGGGTTCTCAAATGGCGACATTTCTTTCTATCGAACTCTAAGCTTATGATCGAACCGTTCGATCGTACGTTCGATCTTTACTCTCATTCCCTCTCATCCTTTATTTTGGATTTTCTAGCATCTATAATATCGATTGAGGCGTATTAAACATTGATCGTTACGAACGATCTTTCTATATTATATTTTCCTCGAATCAACACAATGATGTTTCGCATTTTCATCTCTACTCTCACATACGAACCAAACGAATTTTCTAGAGCCTCGTACCAACGGTTCTCAACTTATTACATTTAGCTTTCGTTTTTGCCGCGTTTTACGATAGGCAGCACCATCCCCTTGCCCCACTACTTGCTTCTATGTAATACATACATACATACACACATACAACATACATACATATATACGTATGTAACCTTCTTATTGTATGGACGGACGCGTTACGCCCTTTTCTCTCTTATGCACGTATATACCTCTGTCTATCTATTCTCTTTTTTTCTCTCTCTCTCTCTTTCCCATTCCTCATCCTCTATTCATCTTCTCATTTTCTCTCTTTTTTCAAGCGTCATCGAAAGATTAAAAGATTGATATGTATAGCTATTTTTATGGATAGAAAAAGAAAAAGAAAAATTAGAAAAAAAAGATAGTGAGAGAGAGAGAGAGAGAGAGAGAGAGAAAGAAAGAATAGTTGGAGGTGAGTGCGAAAAATTACATTTGCGGAAGAAAAGCGAGTGATATTAGGTAGGAAATTTTCAAGGCTCTCTAGTAACGACGCCTCATTTCAATGACGTAGCTGCTTATTGTTAGTTGGATATAAGTTCTGGAGGGGGAGGCGTCGAGTGGTGGTCGGCTTTTTTTCAATGTAGAGGAAGAGGGAAAGGTGTTGCCAGCGCACGATTCCGGATCGATTGGTGGAAGATTATGAAACTATAGAGCCGTCGAGTTAAATTAAAAGTTTTCCATTTGTTTTCTTTCCGATAGAATCTTTATTTTGAATATTATTAAAGATACTATATTTAAAATCATTTTATTCTTAGTAATATTACAGAATATGAAATATACTATTTATATGTCCTTTAGAGAGAGAGAGAGAAAAGTATTCGCTCGACAAGTATGGCGCTGCTGTATCGAGCGACAAGGCTTTACGAAACTTGGACGTCCTGTAGCGCTCAGAGATTGTGCTACTACGCCGATCGATTGCTGCTACGCATGCTGTTTTGTCTATATATGTGTCATTAAGGAATACTCGATAAGAGAGAGAGACAGAGAGGAAGAAAAATTATACATTGAGAATGAAAAACAATTGCGCATTTTCTTATCGTATAAATTTCTTCCATTTCACTTAATAAATAATATTTCGAAAATATCAATGAACGTTTTTTTAATTATTCAACTTTTAAAGTAGGGGTGACTTATCATTCACGTTTAAAAGCAACCAATAGTACGGTGCTGCCTGCTATCGGGAAAATTTAAATTGAAAACTTTAAATTACATGGAAATGGATATTTGAATTACTTGTTTTTATTTTTTTTCTATCGATTCGTAAAAGTACAAATTGTACTTTTTTTTTCTTTTAATAAGGATAACCAGTCGTAAATAACAATTTTTATTGATTTATGTGTATAAAGTCGTATATTTACAATATATATTATTTGAAAAAATTGTTATATTTCTTATATCTGTATAATTTGTTGCATTCCACGATGCTTCGTTACGTCGATATTTGGTGTTTTCCTTGCTTTCATAATATATGTATACCTGAGTAAAATATTCTATTTCAAATAGAATTTGATAAGGACATCTAATGCCTTAAAAACTCATTTCGTTTACATTAGCACCAATCCTTCTGTTTAAATATCCAAAATTTTCTTTTTTACATTTTTATAACAATAAACGAAGTTCACTTTTAGTACAAATATATGAATGTTGTTGTGAGAAAGTATTTGGAATGCAACTATCTTTATTAAATTAGTATAGTATGTAAAATGATAATGTGTTTTTGTTAATATGAATTTATTTACTTATTTTATGTTACACTCATGAAAAATCTTGAACAATTTGCCTTCTACATTTTGTACTCTTAATGTAAAATGGTACAAATCTAAAAAAACTTTTTATGCAGTTATCTTTAACGGATTTACAAGTACCCTGCTGTACATATGCATGATTTATCTATTATATTAAACTATAATTTGCATCCAATTCATTTGTACCAATATATTTATAAATAGATCTGTATCTTTATATATTAGAAAATGCTATTCATAAATGATTATTATTGTATAGATAGAAAAGGAATAAATAAATATTTTTTCTTGTATTTTATATGCTAAGGCAAATATATAGGAAAATATTGTAAATTGATATTTTTGTTATATTTAAAAGATTAGGATTTTAAAATTACAATTAGAGGAGACATAATGTAGAAAGCACTTCTATGTTAACATGTTTATCCATGTTCTTTTTTTAATCAATTATTTTCATTTGCAATTTATCATCATTAATTATTGTTAATGCACTTTTCAAAAGTATGCATTTATTAAATTAATATTGGTTTATGCGTCAGAGTTATGAATTGATGATATATAAGAGATAATATGTGAGTAAATAGTAAGATTTGCAAAGTTATCAGTTATTTATATAAGTTCAAATATAAACAAATTGAGCAATATTATAAACTTTATCGATTAAGATTTTGCAAGAAAAAAAAAAAAAATGCTTACGCTTATTGTAATATGAAACCATATGTTAAGAAAATTTATTTATTTAAAATTATTTTAATTTTCTTTGAGATGTGATATTTTTAAGTTGTTGTTTATATATTTCCGCTTCTTCTTCCTTTTTTTGTAATTGTTTGCGATATTCAGCGGCTTGCCTTCGGGCTTCTGCTAACTGTCTATTGAGCACTGCTATGTCCATTACTGGCTCGTTATTATCCACATTATCTTCTTCTATAATTTCTTCTATGTCGTCATCCAGTTGTAAAATTATTGGTTCTGTTATTTTGGAAGGTGAAGTGACTATTTTGTTCTGTAAACCAAATAAGTTTAAAGATATATTTGAATCCATAAGCATACACATAAAATATGAATTTAAATACCTCTGAAGCTGTTGTATATTGTGATTGCGTTATCGTTGGAACCGTCATAGCATTTGAAAGAGAGGAGATGAATATTTTTCCACCTTTGTTATCTACGGAAGATCTTTTTAATATATTCGGACTACGGGATGTAAGGCTAGGTGTGCTTTGATTTAAAATCTGATCTGCTCTTATAGCTATAACTTTCCTTGAATTTCCTTTTCTTGGAGATACTTGAAGTCGTTTCATACTTAACGGAGAACCTCTGGTTAAATTTAAGGCAAGCTTACCAGCTTCTAAGAATAAGAAACAATTTCGTGATTCATTTTTATATTATAAGGATTAATATTTTATCCTTTGATGAGAAATATTTCTATTTAATTAAAAACAAATATACCTGTAAGAACAACAGTTCTTCCACTTTCCATTGCATTCTCTACTATGGATGCATCATCATCCATTGGAATCATTGTAATTCCATGTGCTTCTAATAACCTGAATTGATTTTTGACTCCACTCAATGTTAAATCTTTACGTTTTTTATTAATATTAATATTATTCGTATTAATAATTTCTTCCGCATCTGTCATTTGTTTTTCAGTTTCTACTTCAGTAGATGGTGATACATGAATTTGTTGAAGAATCATTCTTGGTTTTTTATTACCTCGAACTGAATGATCTTCATTAAATAAAGAAAATAAGAATAGTTCTTGAAAATTTATTACTTACCTTGAGTACCTTTACGTTTTGATTGTGATTGTTGCTGCAAAAGTTCTAATTTTTGTTGTTTTTCATTAGCTGCTTTTTCTGCTTCCAATTGAATTAAATTGTGAGTTGCTACTTCTAATTCCGCCGAGCTAGCTTGATGTTGTTGTTGAGTTTGTATTTCAATGATTTCTCGTTCTTGCTGCAGTATATCCATCAAATAAGATCTGCCATGCTCCAAAGCTAAGCTCATTGGAGTTTTATCGAATTTACTATTTGCATTTTTATCCGCACCATATTCCAACAAAACATGCATTACTTCTATATGCTCTTTTTCCACTGCCCAGTGTAAAGGAGTCATTTTAAGCTAAAGAAATTATTAATTACATTAAATTATTTATATTTGAAAGAGTTGTATTTATTTCTTTTTACCATGTCTCTACTGTCAACATCAGCACCATATTTTAACAATAATTGTGCCATATGATGATGACCTTCATAAGCAGCCAAATGCAGTGGCGTTCTGTCCACCTTGGTTCTCGCATCTCGAGATATTCCTGCCCTGAGTAAAACTTCAGCGGTTTCTGTGTGATTATATTTCGCTGCAAAATGTAATGCACTTGTTCCAAGCTAAAAAATAAAATTCATAATAATAATGTATTTTTATATATAATAAATGAAAAATATTATTTTGTAAAAAGATATATACATACACAGTCTGTTGTGAAAGGTGCTCCCTTACACATAAGTTCATGGACATTCCCTGTGTCTCCATGTTTTGCACTATGTAACAATTGTTTTCCTAATTCTACTATCGATAAGGCCTCTTGAGAACGTGAATGTTGAGAGACATCACATGATAAAATTTCAACCTGACAAATGTTATTCGAAGACTTTCATAAACACTGATTTTCTTGCATAGATTTTACATCGAACCATTAAGATCAAATCTAGTTTACATTTATAAATTGTTTAAATTCTCTAACTATAAATGCAACTGACATGAGAAGTAATCTTACCGGTATGAGAGTGTCTTCATCCAGTCCTTCGATATCATTGACACAGATATTCTCAGCTTGCATGTTTGTACACCGAACTCAATTCCCCTCTCTCTGATGCACACTAAAATCAAATTATCCATAATATTTAAACAATGCCACCAATTTTTCCAAATTAATAGGGTCTGCTCTGAATGTTCCATTTTCCAAGTATCAGTCATTGTACTTCGACCTTGAAGCACCGAAATTGAAAGTAGGTCGTAAAAATAAAAACGAAACTTAATTCGAAAGAAACCCGCTATCCCGATCACTTTACTCCTTTTCTAAATCACAAAAGCATCGCACGCTTATTTTTCGAAATTTCCTTCGATACAGGATGTTTTTAATTTGCCATCTCAGTCGCGAGGAACTTCCTGTTCCTGTTCATTAAACGGAAGTCCCATGTCATAGGCCCTGCATTTCATGACCAAAAACTATCCAAATCGATTCGCGATAGCACGGAACAAAATTATACTTACGACCAGCACATTATTCACTCGTTTTGCTGGTTTTTCGTGCAAGTTTCTCTCGTCCACGTAACCTTTATCAGAATTGTTCCTCTTCACAGCCTTCTCGATTTATGGACTGGCTAAAGTTTTATAAAAATGGCGACGCATTGGCGCCATTCCTGATATAATTTATCCAATATTCCAATGACCCTCAAACACGAACTAAAGGATATGCTTTAAATTCGATGGATTACAATAATACGTGAATATTTTATTTTATAAAACTTATTTATTACGACATAATAACAATTCTAAAGAGAAAATATGTTCAATAATAATAATGCTTTGTAGCGCCGCATAGCGGTGCACGTGGAAATTATTTATTCTTGATAGAGGCTAGGTTCGTGATACGTGCGTTAGGTTAGTTCATCAATTAATACTTTTGGATCGACTGTGAACTTTTATGCATTTTATTTTGGTTATTTGTATTATTATGTCAATGAGAAATTGTTCTATATAGAGATATAATTAAGGAAGTAATACTTTTTTATATCATGTATTAAGTACTTTATATTTATAATAAATGACAAGTATTTTGGATTTTTGAAATATGTATTTAAAAAAACTTTTATATGATTATAATCATATATAAATATAATTTGGACGATATTATTCTTGTTATTTAAAAAAATTCTTATTACTTATAAAATTGATGGAATAAGTAAATTAATTCGTTTTAGCGCCCATATCATATGACCATCGTGTATTGTAACTCACTGACGACCAAGTCCATGTTACAAGATGTCGGTGTAAAATGATGCACGCTTGGATCGCTGCCAAAGTTTTCAATTTCCTATTATTTAACGCGTGCTATGCTATCCATTGCATGTACCATATTCTGTATAGTATTGAAAAGGTTTTGTTGAAAGTTCCTATGAGGTATCGTAACACAAGAGACATATTTTTTAAGGAAATAAGTTTCATATGTTATTAATCATCAATTATTCCACATTGATACTATAAATAATTTTAAAGATTTTACATTATTTTATAATTCATGTTTGTCGAGAATAAGGGATTTCCATAAAATTTACCATTTTAATTTTTTCGACGTATCTAAGAATGGATGATAAATATGTTATGAGACACATCGTTTGCGATTGGTCGACATTTTAAACTCCTGCATATCATTGGTTGGAAAGTATTACGGCATCATCATAAATTCATGTTCGTTATAATGTCTGATTATTTTTAAACATCATGGCGACTCATCATTTATTTTTATGTCTGTAAGTGTGAAGAATAATTTGAATTAGCAGGTAAAATATTTTTGCATAAAAAATTACCGACTTACGATCAAGGTGGTCGATGGTTAACGTGGCAAATTTGAAACTATTGTAACCTACAAATGAAGACAGTCGAGGATTCTTCGTACAAATTGTTGAATCAATTTAATAATCTCAAAGTTTATTTTTATGCGGTAATGCAATTAAGGATGAAGATTGCTGTTTATTAATTATTTGAAAATATAATAACATACTAATTGTATTTGACCGAATCTTTATATTACCTCTATATTTTACTCCGGTCGACTCGTCGCATGTATACATGTGTAAAAATACTAGAAATTTTCATATTTTTTTCTTTTTCTTTGTTTGCTATCTTTCTTCATCCTACGGAACATATACATATATATATATATATATATATATATATTCATATATCATTGTTTTTCATCCTTCTCACTTTCTCCGTCTAGCTACTATTGTCTCTAAATCTCTCGTTTCCTTCTTTCTTATATTTTTTTTCTGTCTCTTTTGTATCCCTTGTTCCTTTTCTCTTTCTCTCTTTTATACACATATATAATACTATATTCGCATCCATTGCTTTCTACCACGTTTCCAACACTGTGACTGGCTTTCTCCTTCTCTGTAGTTGACCCAGAATCGTGGAGATAACGGAGTATCAAGGTGCAACACAATGAATCTCCATGCCTACGTATACATACGCGAATAACTCTGGTGTGTGTATATAATATGTGAGAAACAGATGGGCATGTAGAGAGGGAGAGAGAGAGAGAGAGAGAGAGAGAGAAAGAAAGAAAGAAAGAAAGAGAAAGAGAGAACCGGCTGGTATACGTATGGATTACTGTTGGTGGCTCGTTATCGCAATTGATAATATCGTGGACTCTGGCTCACGGTTGAATTAAACAAATTTCACGGAAATATCGGCTAGAAGGATTTTATTGGCGAACGGTTTAACTAACATAAATGGTCCATTAATATTACAAAATAGAAAAAAAAAAGTAATAAAAAGGAAAAGAAAAGAAAAAGAAATAAAGTAAATATTGAAAAAATCTAATTTATAATAGAATATATGCCGTCGTATTGTATCTATTAACATTAAAACATTTTTAAAATTAAAAAATAAATGATTAATTATATTTCCGAAAAAATTTATCAGTAAAAGAATTAGAACCATAGAGATTTTTTTGGATCGATTTATTGGCAAGGAAAGATAGGTTGTTGTAACTTCATAAATAGCTCGATACGTGTCCATTATTCTAACGTTTCGGGGACGTGTAAAATAACTGACCTTTGAACTCTGTATAAAGTAAAGGTAGCACAGGGAAGGATTATGCATACAAAGTTTACTATCGAATGCGTGCACCGCCACATCGGGTTAACCATTCCTTATATCGTAATCTAAGGAGGTGCCTGGCCGCGCACGGTCACGGGAGTGAGCTTGCATGCTTTCAAACGGAGTAGGTTAGAAGGTTCGTGAATTTCTCATGAAGGAAAATGCATCGTCCGTCGTTGACGGTGATCAAGGTGTGTATATGTGTGTATCTTTTTCTTTGCAACGAGAAAGTAACGAGTGCTTTCATCCTTTTTGAATGTCATCGTTCGAGATTTATGTCGTCCGTCAGTAGTCCTTATTTCGAATTATCGTTTATCTTATTCTATTATCTCCGAAATGATAAAGAAATAGAAACAAATTAATCGTATTCTAAATTATACATATATATATATAAAAATCATCGAGAAAAATAATAAAGGTTGGACGTTTGAATTTAAAGTAAAACATTCGATACGTCAAGCGGGGATTAACCTTATAACTTTTACATCGGAATTAAGGGTCGTTATGCACCGTGCTAACGTACCTTCAAACTACGCTACGATATATAGCTTTATACGTAGACGTAGGTATACATTTATAGACTTACACGTATATACATATAAACGAAGTTTCGTGCCGCAGTCGCCGCACGGACTATTACGGGTTCTATGCGGTCGAGACCGTTGCAGGATTCAGGAAGTGTTGCACGGGAAATGAGATTCTTGCGTGAACAATACTCGAGACTCGAAGACCATTCCCTATTTGCATCGTGCGAAAAATAAAAAAATATGAGAATCTTAGGAACCGTTTTTCTAAAAATACGAGTCGATATATTTTTTATTAATCCAATTTTTAGTGGGACTATGTATTTAACGTACTATATTTTGGATATGGTGTTAACATATAATTAAAGGAAAAAATAATTTTATTTATAAATAGTTATAAGAAAATATTGATTTCCAATCTTGAGATATATTATGGATACATATTATACCTGTCTATTAGAAATAGTTACTTTAATAGTGAATTATTATTATTGTTACAATCAATTATTTTAGAAACCTAGCACAAATGCAATCGTTTTATTGAAATTCCAGTAGACTTATATTGTTAGCTCGGAAAATAAAATAACGTATTTGTCATTCGAAAGGTTTGTCTTCTATAAATTTAGTTTGGTCAACGTACGATGAAACTTTCTTACCTTTCCAAATGTAAACAAAAGGGCAAGTACGTTTGCGTTAAGTAAATTTTGTCCTCTCTAATCGTCAGTTCTGTGCAGGTGCACTCACAGAAGTGAAACCAACCGAAAGGAAATTATTTCTTCGTTTTAGGTTGACGTTTCTTTTTTTTCTCTTCAGGTCGATACGGACCCAACTTCCGGCATACCATAACACCGCGCCACCAAGCTTGGATCCTGATGGCGCATCCTCGCACGTGCTGTTCGTGTTCCTTTTGTTTTTTCACTGCTTCCTTTTCCGCGAGGTAAGTGTCTATAAATTTTTGTTTTTTGTTATACTGTAATGGAAAATTAAGAGAACGAATTTCAGCGTATTTTCGTATCACTGCATAATAAATAATTAGAATATCGAACTGATAATTATTTTTTTCTTCTTCTTTTTTTTATTTTTGTTTTTTTCCTAATGCAATCTGTCACAATTATTAATAAATGTGTAAGCGACCGTACGAATACATGCGTTACTTATAACAGAATAAATTCTAAATTATTCACAATTTCATATATTTACGAATTTCTTCATTAATTATTTTAGTTATGTTGTCACTTTAATAGTAACGTTCTATAATATATGAATCGTTTATATTACAAACGCATATAGAACGTATTACATACGTTCTCTTGAATGCGATTATGTTGCAAGTGCCTAAGGTTGCTTGTTCTTCCGTACATAAGTTATTTGAATTTAGAACAAAGCCTGTGTAGTCATTTTCACAGTTAAGTCTTTTTGGATTCTAAGTTGACAGTGAAGTATGTAAAATTTAACGTAACCCTATAATTAGTTATACGTTTTCATATATATATGTGTATTTCTTATATACGTGTATGTATATGTATATAGATAGATGATACACGTGTTTTATGTTTCTTACATTTGAAATTCACACGCGTAAGAACGACGATAAAAAGTCGTAAGAGTTAATCGTAAAGGTTCGTGAAAGCGAGTTCCGAGCGTGTTTCTTACATCTAAACGTAAAATTATGGATATCGCTCGATTCGAAATAGTCACGAACGAGTTTTCAAGCCGAGCTTATCGATTTTTGCGGATATGCCGAGTAACAGAACATCTAGTTTGATTTTTTACGATGATCGATGATTCTCTAAGTTTACCTAGCAAATATATCGATCCTCTTTTACAAAATAAAATTCGTCTCGATTTATAATACAATATTTATAGAAATTTTGTGCTCGAAAGGAGATGCAAATATTCCTATAGGTATCAACAGTACTTTCAGTCGTATGTTTATCGCGCTAAACTATTTTGATATTTTTCTTTGTGTTTGAAGTCTTTGTCGGGAATAAGGGAACCTCTTTCTGTTCTATGTTTAGAACGAAAACATTACCTCTTGTGAAAGTTCAGCTATGTCTTTTTGTCGAGTTTCTATCTCTATGTTCACTTCACGGATTTCTTCTTCATACATTTTCTTCTCTCGATCGTACCGTTTCTGCCATTCTTCGATCTTTTCTTTGATACTCTATAATTTGGTAAAAGTATACTTTATTTATCAGTTGGTATGTACTATATATACCGGATGTTCTATTTAACTTTATCACGGAAAATATTTCTCTCTTTTTTTTTTTTTTTTTCATTTAATAGACTAAAGTGTTCAGAATTAAATTAAACTATTTCAAGATACACATATTACGATGGAATTTATTTTTTCGCAAAGTCATCGATATCTTATTCAATTAAATTGTACGATTTTTTGTGTTACTTATTTCTCATACTAATTTAAATAACATATGTATTTCGATAGAATATCTGATGATTCATGTTTCTGTATAATTTAAATTAGAACAAAATATGTTAGAGAAACAAAGATTAATAATTTAAGATGGACTACATATTTATAATCATATTTTTTCATAAATGCACGTGTATTATTATTATTATTATTTTCATAAATTCACGTGTATTTAATGCGATAGCGTAGCTTAAAACAATGTAATTTACTTCGAAGCATTTTTTTTCATGAAACTAAAAATAACGGAAATATTTCAGGCGATAAAGTTAGGTTTACCTTGTATATATTACTTGCCATAATATGTATTTGATATAAAATGTAATACGTCCAAAAATGTTTATAAAATGTTCTAACTCACCGCGATATCATGCATAAGAAACGTAATCAATTCGGTGGATATAAGTTGTTCAATTTTTTCACGCTCGTGAAGATCATCGAGCAATTTTTTCAATCTTTTCCATTCTTCCTCACACTTGATCAAATTTTGTTGGCACTTAGCTTTATTCCACTTACACGAATACTTGTATTCAACGTCAGAAACTATTTTCTGTTTCTCATTTTCATTCTAACAAGCATTGAAAAGAAGAGTGGAGTTTCAAGGGGAGGATATCGTAGGAAAGAACTTTTTCTTTGTTCCGACATAATACCTTTAAGTCGAGCAGTATATTCCTTAGACGGGTTCTCTCCACTTCATTGCTCATTTTTTCGTTGGCGAGAGTTCGTCGAAGCTCCATCGCAGTTTTTTTCATTGCCGTACATTCTTCGAATAAAGTCTCTTCTTCTTTTCTTCGGGTCACGATTCTTTCAATTTCTTTAGTCAACACATCGAAACTACAACGCTCACGTATTTCTTCCTTCAATTTTTCCATAATACTTCTTACATATAAGCTAAGAGTTTAAAAACAAAAACAAAAATCGAACGAAAATTAAATTTTATGATATAAATTATTAGCAACAGTATATTACAATTCAAAATCTAGCTTATCGTTTAAACCTATCATTTTGTAGTTTAGTATATGTAGCTTGTTCCTGCATATCTTTTATCATTTTTTTCATGTCCTCGTTAAGTATTTGCTTATCTGTTGTTTCCAAGTTTCTATAAAGAAAATTACGAAGAAAAAAATATTGTTGTAAGAGAGAGAAATATTATTATATTATATTATACTTTTTTATTTTATTTAATATTTATCATACATACTGGAGTTCGTAAAGAACATAAGGAACTGTCGTGTTCTCCGAGCGCTTAAAAACCTTTTTGAGAGTTTCTCGATAAATGACGAGCGCATTCGTGCAGTCTTCGAATATCGTTGAAAGAGCAGCCATTTCCGAAGGGGAAGGTTTGGATAAATTATATACTTGCTTCTCAGCCATCGAGTACCTTACAATTAATTAATCTCTCTCTCTCTCTTTTTTTCTCTTTTTTCTTTTTATTAATTTAAAGGAATGCAACAAGTAGATCGGATCATTAGCGGAATATTTTTTTATCTTATTTTAGGAAACTTATAAAATGTATAAATGAAATATTTGTAAGTATAAACGTAACTTGTATATATAATACATTCAAACAAAAATTTTATTCGGTTGGCCTAGTAGTAAAACAGTTGAGTATGACTGACACCACGCACACATACGTCCTATCGGTTTAAATTCAACAGACGAACCAATTTATCATACGTTCGTGTAGTTCGTGAGAAAGCCGTCTCGTTTCGATTTTTGCTACTATACCGTTTATCTATTATTTTTATCCAACATATCTACGTAGAGTTCGCCGCAGTATTTCAAAAGTTTCTGTACGTTTCGCGAGTCACAAGTAACGAGACCTTTCATTTTAATGCGCGACGTTTAATCCATGATTCCTGCAATTTTACGAAGAAATATATATATCTTTGTATGTGTATGTGTGTAGATATGTATAGGTGTGAGATTAATTTATGTACGTACAATATTGAATTACGTCGATCGTATGACTAATCGAAACGATTCGAATACGAATGGTTCTACTTACATTGACGAATATCAAGATATCCGAAATAAGATAAACATTTGTATGACGTATATTGATCGATTTCGATATAACTAATGTTTTATAATAGAGCACCATAAACTTCACCTGGTGGAGTGGTTGCTGAGAAACGTTTTTAATGGTGAAAACGGTTTGATCTATCGTTTGTCGTTGCTCTAGCAACCATAACAGTCAGAACGCAACTTCCACGTATGTATTTACAGTATTTATCATCATGAAGCATGCTTGGCACTGTGTGGAAAGCTTTTTTAAATAATTAAACGTTAATACTTTCATTTTCGCTTTACGTTAAAACTTGTCTATTGTATAAAAGAGTATTACGGAAAATAACAATTTAAAAAATGATGATTAAATAAGACGAGACTATTATTAAGAGTATATATATATATATATATATAGGAATAACATTTCTTTAAATAATATGAAAAAGTCGTTCGATTTTTTACCTACCATTTTATAAATTGTTAAAAGTTACTTCAGTAAGAATCATTCTGTGTGATAAATCGATCGTTTTTAATTGAATAAAATTTATACCCTTAGAGCAGAGTTGTGTTTCCAAAACTTTTCTTACTACGGAACATTTTATTAATCCTGAAATTTGAATTGAATAGCCTTGGCTATTTTATAGAGTTAGTTAATAATAAGAAAATTAAGCAAGTTAATCTAAGAGTTAAAAAAACAAACATTCAAAGGATTTACGAAAATGAAAAATGTTATTCTCGAAAACGAATCTATTTCATGTTCTATAACAGTCTCGTTACCTGAAAAACTTTAATTATTAATCCTTCTTAAAGAGTTTTTTAAATGTCAGGGGTATATTAAGAAAGAAAGTTCGAAGAAATCAGTCGAAGTCGACAGCTGTTGAGCTGACGGCTGTCATATATATATATATGTATATATATATACTTATTCTTTCACATTAGATCTTGGGGAGAAAATTTCATTGGAAAAAAAGTCTTGTGGACAGAAGGACTTTCGCTTCCGCTTAGGTTCGTTGTCGATGGAAAAGAAGAGGCCACGGAGCACGTACAGCTTTGATTGGAAAAGTTCCACACTCAGGAGACTTTAATTGAATCTGCATTGTCTAGGAGGTCCCTCTTGAACTGTCACAAAATTAGCCTCGTTTTTTCCCTCAAGGACGTTGAATTCTTCGAAAAATAAACAGAAAAAGAACTTTCGACTCCTCTCTTTGCTATGATTTTACCGATCAACCAATAAGATCGAACTTTCTTAGACGGATTTTTACTTAATTTTAGAGAAGAATAAAGCTAGAAGATCGAAAACAGTCCTTGTTCTTTAATTAACATTATAATGACGTCTAACGAGGAAAACAGTATCGTATAAATCACATGAATGTTATAATTCATTATTAAAATTATTTAAATAAATTTCATTGTTCGTTTGTTCGTTCCTTTTGCTGTTCATATTTACCATTCTAAATCTATTGCGAATTTCGTAGGTTCAAATTCGACTATCGTTTTAAACTTCGTAAGGTAAGATACCAATAGGGAAACAACGTAAATCAAACAGAACCCCTTGAATCCAATCTTTAATTTTCCCAAGTTTGGCAATTTACTAATAGTAATACTTTGATATTTACGAAACAAACAATGAAATAAAATAAATGAATCCGTTTACGATTTAAACAAAATGAAATAAATATATTTTGTGGCTTGTAAGTATTAAACAATTGTCGAAATTTTGTTCGAAATTGAAAAAAAGAGGCGGGAGAGTGGGCGAGTCGGCGATGGTGGCGCGCTCTGCCGAATGGCGCGGCAATTTCGAAATGGGCCAGAGAGGGGCGCGGCGGAGGGTTGCGCGAGGGAGGGGAAAACGAGGGTGTTCGGCGTGTTTTGGCCGGGACGCTTGCGTATTCGCGAGGGCGGTGTCGGTGGTGGAAGGAAGGCAGCAGTAGCAGCAGCAGCAGCAGCAGCAACACCACCAGAGAAGCAGCAGCAGGACGTTTTTGAGGCTTCGTGCCTCACTTCCTTGCTCGCTCGCTCGCTCACTCGCACGCTATTATTTCTCGTCTCGTTCGTCGTTCTCGACGACGACGTGATTCGTTTCCTCCATTTTTATCGTCGTCGTCGTCGTCGTCGTCGTTGTTGTCATCGTCTCTTCGTTTACGTCGAATCTACTTTTTCATCGTCGTCATTTAAAAAACCGAATTTGTTACACACGTAAACATATATTTATATGTAATACGTAATATGGATATGTATATATTATATATATATATTGTTTGAAAAAAAGGATAGAGATCAAAAGAAAGATAAAAGGAAATAACAAACAGGGGTAGTAGTGCCGGAGAGTTCTCGTTGTCGATGTCGTCGCGTATCGTCGCGTTTCGTGCACGTTCGTCGCTCGCGCCACACTCGAGAACGCGTCGTCGTCGTCGTCGTCGCGAGAAGGCCGCCTCTTCGTACGGTCTTCGGTGCGACACTCGACAGTCGTCTCGACGCCACGAACGAGCGCGCTTCTTATTATTCCTTCTTGCCGCTTCCTCCTACAATTCTTCTAGCTTCTGTTACTCCACTGCCATCACCGCTGTCGCAACAACCCTAACAACAGCAATCGTCGACAACAACAGGAAAATAGACTGAAGTTCTAGTAGTAATATTCAACGGAAATAACAATACATTGCCCAAAATCAACCGTGTCGACTACTACTACTACTATCGTTCTCACATTTCGATTTATTTCATTATTTATTATTCTCTTATTATTCATTTTCATCGCGTGACACACACGCGCGCGTGTCGATGCACTCCTACTACTATCATAATTACCACCACTACCACCACCACCACCACTACCACCACCTTCACCATCAGCTGCCACCGTTGGAAGCTCGTTGCCGCGGCAGGAGGCAGCACAGCTCCACGCAATACACCCTTCTACATGGTGGAATTTAAGGTTATAATCTCGACGTGTATTATTTTTACGCGTTGATACGTCCACCTCGTCGTTTGGCTTCTTCTTCTTCTTCTTCTTACTGTTATCGCCTACTACTACGTCGACAACGTCGTCATCGTCATCATCGTCGTCGTCGTCGTCTTCGTCGTCGTCTTCGTCGTCGTCATCGTGGACATCACATAGCGTATCTGCGAGTGAGTAACTTATTCTTTTTTATTATATTATTTCCATTATTTCCTTTTTACTGTTTTACATTCAACCACCTTATTTTGTTTCTCTCTTCGTGGTAATGTTTTTTTCTTTTCTTTCTTATTGGATCGAAACATCCCTCTTAGTTTTAAGGTAAAAATGTGTAAAAACGTTGTTCTCGCTGTTTCCCTCGAATCTTTCTTGGATTTATTATCGTCCCGCGCCCAACAGACAGACAGAAAGAGAGACAGGGAGAGAGAATGGAAGAGAGGGAGACAGTCATGGTTAACCTAGTTGCGAGTTTTTGGAACGCCCTCGTGTTTACGCCGCGCGACAACGTATAACTCGTTTAAATGTGTGCGGTGAAAGTTTCGCCCGCGGTACGCCGATTACGAATACGTCCAAGTAGATCTTACGATTATTATTTATTCATACATGTGTGAGAAACAAGAAACAAGCTGAGAAAATGTCGACTTTTATCAATTAATTTTATATCTCATTTGTGTTTATTTATTTATTTATTTTTTTTTCTCTTTTTTTAAGATTAAATATTGCAACTTTTTTTTTGGAAATCTCGTTCTCCTCTTATTTTCCTTTATTAATTATTTTTTTTTTCGTAGTTTTCTTGTTCCGCTCCAATAAGATTTCTATTTAGATTACGATGATCAGTTTATATCTACCTTTCGAACGAAACTCAGCATCGATTTTCGAAGGAAGAATGACAAGATATGTATGCACTACGATGGAAGAAATGTTGACATCCACAAGAAATGAAAGATCCCGTATGAGAAAGGGGAGGAGTTGGAAAAAGTTTTCGGTAAAGTTTTCTTCGAGAATTTGCTGACGAAAGAACGAAACCATTCAATTTGATAATTCGACGAAACTATTTTGCGAATTTTTTTTTTAAGATAAGTATACACGTATTGTATTGAAACGTTTGAAAAAGAAAATCGGGAAACGTTATTTACTAAAATCTTTTCGATTATAATTGTTAATCTTATATGAGATATCGAGCATAAGGAACATAATGCAGACGAAATCTTTTGTTTATTCGACTTTAGACACAGTAGACCGAATTGTTTTTCTTTTTTTATTTTACAGTTACAAAAAAACAGTTTTTTTTTTAAATTCTGCTTCGGTTTTTCGGATAAAATAGATCCTGGTATTTTTTGTTTTAAATTCTTTTGAAGTATTTGATATAATGACGTAACGATGAAAGAGCCTCGTTAACGTAGACCCTTAATGCATTACTCCCTTTAATTAGTCGATTGACCAACCAATAAATGGAGCCTATGGATGATCGCTTCAGCACTTACCTACAGCAAGTCGTAATCCTTTGATTGACTGGTCAATGATCGCAAGCAATCAGGTTTAATGTTGTCTCTTGGAATTATCGTGTTAATTGATACAAGGCACGTGTACTATTCCGTTTGTTAGATACGAAAGAAAATTGAATAGTTACATAGTTTATACATATATATCTCTTGTTTACTCTGATTAAAATTGTAGATAAAAGCACAACTTGTTAAGACTTCGCGTAGTGTAAAAAACATGCTCATATACACACATGTGCATGTACACATATATACATGTATATACATTTTAAATTCGTATTGCGCTAAGAAGCTGCTTGAGCATTCGAAAAGCATCCGTAACAGTTTCGAGCGTGAAACGTCTCTTTCAAGAGAGCATGGTCCAAGAATCTGCAGTTAGCGTGGAATGGAAGCGTCATGAGGGTGTGATTCTCAAGATTTTCAAGTGGAAAATCGTAACAGGCAATTGTCTAAACGTGTCCTTATCTTAGAATCCATTCAAATCAACTTTTATCTACATGATTAGACTTTTAATCGTATTGCAAATGAAGGTACTTTATTTTTTATTGTTTATTCAAGAAATTATGAAAGAAGTGTTGCGCGTGTGTTTGTGTACGAATTAATTTAGAAAAAAAAACAAATATTAGGCTTAGAGAATCTCGTTATTACACGTAATATTATTTGCTTGTTTTTATTTTTATTTTTAGCGAAACATTCAATTTATTTGTAACTTAACGTTTATTTGAATGAATTTCTTATGAAAACAATTGAATTTTTAACTTGATTACCAAAAGAAAAAAAACGAAAATTAAAATATTCGATTTAGTGAATTGATATTACTCGTACTATCTGTTTTTTCCTAGCCTTAGGGAGAAACAAGGGTAGGTATATATACGGTTTTTATATTCGTTCTTGAGTTTTGTCCTTCCGGCGGAAAACTGTGGAAACTTAATATTAAATCCTGAATTTAAAAGCACAGTACCGCTTGACCATAATGGAGGTCTTCCAAGTGGCTCTAGGCAAACGGTATTTCTGCTTTCGTTTCACCCTAGAAAATGGGGTTCCCTTTACGATACGATTCTATGTAGTTTAAGTCAGCTGAACTAAGACGGAATGAAATTTTTCAAAGAAGATTATGATGTTTGATAAAGTAGTTTACCGTTCTTAAATATAATATATTGTAATATTTATACCTACTGTGATATTATCACAATTACATCAGTAAATTTATTTCACTAACTTTTCTACCTTCAATTGTTTATTCGTTTTAATATCTATTAAAATTATATATAATTATCATTTGATTACAATTATAATATATAATATTTATTTTTGTTTAATCCTGGCATTGACTTTTTCTACTTTTGGATATATTATATTATATATACGCGCGTGAAATGAATTTACCTGGACATATACTTTAAAAACAATTTTTATAATAACTACCGGTTTTTTTTACTGATTTCCTTGAATACATAATTCAAGAGTTTTACGAAAAAATATTGTCATAATACCGGAGTTGATGATCCCATAGTGGAAAAGGATTAAATTCAAATGTTTTTTTAATACTTAGAAATACATACATATTGCTTTTAAATCTGTTTTGAAAAGGATCTACCCTCCTATCTCGATCTAGGCGTTACGTGTATGAAATTTGTAAACGAAAAGCAAACATTTCTTTCAATCTCCGTTAACGTCGCGCGAACCTACCAACAAAAATATTTTCCCAACAATGATCGATGTTTCTTCATAAGCGCGTTCTTCTTAAAGCGTATACAGACTATCGTACGATAAAACCCTCGTGGAAGAATGTCGTACAATTTTCGAGTACAAAGGGCTTCACGAGAAGATAGCCGTCATTTTACATTTTATATACCTAATAATTTAGCAACGGCTTTCGTCGTTCTACTTTTCTTTTTTTCCCTTCGTTAAATCCTATCTATTTTATTCTTTTTTTTTCTTCTTTCTTTTTTTTTTTTACCATGATAAAACCTTATTATCTTTCGTTACACATCTATTTCATCTAAAAGCAAAGATTTCGATCCCCGATCAAGAAAGAAGGAAGGAGGTTCAAAAAAGAAGCAAAGAGAGAGAGAGAGAGAGAGAGAGAGAGAGAGAGATAAATAGATAGATAGAAAATGATTCTCACGTATAAGGCTAAAAAGAGCATAAGGTAAAAAATCTGAAAAGAAAAAAAAAAACAACGTAAACGTGAAAAAAAATATTCACCCCTCTTACTGATAAGAAACTATAAACGAGTTTAAAAAAACCGACCCTCTTTTTTCCCATCGGCTCGTTTTGCACTTTCCTTCTTTTACTTTTCTTCTCTCTCTCTCTTCCTCTCCTAGTTTTATTCCAACGATAAGACCATACGTGTCTTTGCTTTTGACGCCTTTTCTCGATAAAAATCAATGATCTATCGTTGTACGGGATATAATGTTCCTTTATTTTTTTTTATTTTTTTTCTCTTCCTTCCTTCGATTCTCGCCGCACATCTCGCGCGCACCTAGGAATGTCGTTAAATCTCGTCAAATGGTTTCACGAAACGATCCAAACTCATGGATCGTAAGTTCGAACGTTACATTTTTTATCTTACCTTTTGCATTTTTTTTTTCTGTAAAATTGAAGGCTTTAAAAACGACGGCATTGACTTTATAATGTTATCGTTATTATTATTATTATTATTATTATTATTATTATTATTATTATTATTATTATTATTATTATTTGTTTTACAGTGTCTACGGTGATTCGACTTTTTTTCTTAGTAGTCTTTATTTTGTAATATAAGTTCAATCTCATTATAATGTTAATTGTTTTATTATACTTACTGAATAAACGAAGAAAATAGAAACGGAAAATGGAATGGTCTCTTTTAAAATGTAAAAAGTATTGTCTGATTAATTTTGACCAGTAAATTTTTTCTTTTTTTTTTTTTAACAAAGATTGAGAAAAAATATAGGGGATGATATTACCATACTAATGATCTTATTATATGTATACCGAAAGAATGTGAATAAAATAAAATAAATAAATCTATTATATTATTTATAATTTATAGATATAATCTAATTTATATTTTTACTTCTATTTCTTTATGTTATTTCAGAATAGAATGACCATATTACGGTTATAATAATAATCTCATTATATCGAATGAATAAAGAAGTATACAATAAAATGGAAAAACGTGTAATCATTTAAAATTATTTAAAATCTAAACAAAAAATACCAGAATTTTGATTTGTATTTCGGTTAACAAATTTTGTTTGTTTATCTGTTAAATATGATTTGAAAATGATAGAAAAAATAAATATGTATCACCCTTAACCAGCAGATATCAATGTCTACAAAAATGTCGCTTTTCAGGGAATGTTCACGCATGAGAAACGTCAGGAGATATCTACAAACGTATATAAATACATACATCCATCTATCCATCTATCCATATATATATATATATATATATATACTTGCTTACATACATACATACATACGTCGGACGTCACTATCGAGTTGTGGCGACAATAGCGATGCCGGAATTGCTTCGCTCGGTTGGTCGAATACCGCGACGGGATAAAAAAATCCGGACACGTAGGAAGCTAATAACAGCCCTTGTATGGCGGATATTAATCAAATAAAGACGACAATGCGATTGCGCTTTAGACTATATGTATATATATAGAAAGAGA